ATCCGATGACAAGAATTTTCACGATCAGGCACATGGAACCCTGTATTATCATCCACGGCGGCTGCAGAACGATACCTGATGAATATCAAGAGTCCGTAAGACAGGGTGTTAAGCTCGCAGCTAGGAAAGGATATGAAGTTCTTCTTGAGGTAAAGAGAGCTTTTAAAATTCTGAAGATGGTCCAAACAAGCTTATCTCGCGTTGAGAGTACGAGCTCTACAAGAAAGCAGTTTTTTTTATTTTTATAAATATAGCCTTAAAAAGGAGGAAGGAAAAACGATTAAGTGTGCTTTAATAGATGCCCTGAAGAACAAATGGTATACGATTGTTAATAAATTAATTAACTGATTAATTAAGTCAATCAATTCTTGAATTTAATATACCTTATTGTAAGTATTTTGATTCATTGAGTACTCCTACAAGCAAGAAGAAACAAGGGGAAAATATCATAAGGTTTATAAAATTGTTACAGAGGTCACGCAGTGACATACTTTACAGGTAGGGTCCAGAGGGAGGGGTGCTTGTCATACTTTTTAGGTGGTAAACTTTGTTGATTGGTATGATACCTCTTAGGGCTGAAAATTTAAATTTGAGCCACACCCTCAAAAATAAGATTCTGGTACCTTTCATGGGTTCTGCTCAAAATTTCTGATGCGCCCTGGCTAATTCAGGATAGTCCTCACCTCGGGATTGCAGGCCTTTTATATTGGGGTTCTTCACTCAGGTGATGGACCACCTATAAATAAATTAAAGGCGTGTAGGAATTAAGAAATAGCACACATTTTCTGTGGTTCTATGTAGTTTTAGTATAAATCTACTGGCATTCTATCACAAATGCCATTCTCTGATTTGCTACGCTATTCACTATCTATTCTGCTGTAGATAGAGAGTAGCAGTGTACACTTGTTCACAGAATAACAGCCACTTCTTTGCGCATGTGTTTTCGAGGTGTCTGTGAACAGAAGAGGACTTTGATAAAGTTGTGAACGACTAGTGGATTTATACTTTAACAATTTGATTATTTGCTCTGGATTTCTATGCATGATAGGTGACTTGGACTGGGCCCTCGTCAACTATCATGCAATAGCAATCTCGAGCTCATAATCTGATTGCTTAATAGAGACATCAATGGAAATTTGGAGGAGAATAAGAAATGCCACGAGAGTGGTGCCACGGACTAGCATGCACGTTCCACAGCGTTTTTGAGTTCTCCCATAGTGTCACGAGTGTTCAGTCTATAACTCAATAGAAATGTGGAAATTGTTTCTCTTTTCTTTTAGAAAATGCTGAAAGAAAAAGAACAGAAAATCACTTATTTCTATCAGAAAAAAATATCTTTTCTCACGCCATCATTATGTCAACAGCTCATGTTATTTGTACATTTCTATAGATCCAGATATGGGTGTCTAGAAAATCTGAATAGTGAATAGGGAATAGTTGTGAATAGCGAACAGCGAATAGTCCCGAATAGCGAATAGCGAATAGTACAAATGGTCTAGAATAGTGCGAATAGTGGCACACAGTGTCGAATAGTGGCAAATAATGGCAAATAGTGGCAAATTAGTGGCAAATCGTAGCAAATAGGGTACCCAGTATCTCACAGTCAACCTTGCAGCAACATAGGACAGGATTTTCCCACTAAAAAGCACAGACATCAGGAGAAAAGGTGTTTCTAAACGTAATTTCTTCTGTTTCAACTGCTCCAAAAGCGTAAATACGTCTTTATTAGGTTATCCTTGTGTTTTCTGTTTTCTTAATGTCAGCGATCAACAGCCCGAGCCTAAGTCCGGAGAAGAAAAGGTGATAAATACTGAAATTGTGAAATTCTGTTGCTTAGTTGGATAATTAATTAATGCAGGATATCAGACCTAAAGCGGTGACTGTTGACGACTATTCATCACTCTTCGCCACTTTTCGTGACTGTTCACCACTATTCACACTATTCGAGACTATTTGAACTATTCGGGACTATTTTATATTCACTATTTGTGACTATTCGCTATTTGCTATTCGGGTTTTCCAGACACCCATCAAGATATACATTGTAGATTAGTACACTGCATTTAGTGCATGCTTTCCAACAGGGTCTTTTGTAATCTATCTTTAATGGAATCGTTTAGGGAGGAAGTGCAGTGGATGCTGTTGAGGCAGCAGTAAGAAACATGGAAGACAATTCAATTTTTAATGCTGGACATGGATGTGCTCTTACAGCGGAGAACACAGCTGAGCTTGATGCCTTCATTATGGATGGACATAATTTAGCAACAGGTTACAGAACTAAAATTTATCCTTTCTTGTGTACTGTTTTTTGCTTACTCCTTTTGCGTAAGATCAATGTTCAGTACAATAAACTGCCTGAAGGTTTAAGGGGATTACCATACTTAGTATTGGGTTAGGGTTCTGTCACTTTACCCCTTAATTAAGTCATGATGGAAAAAGTGATAGAGAAAACAGCAATGCAATTGGATATAGAGGATTTTTCAGTTGTGCAACCAGCAATGCAATTGCATATAGAGGTTATGCGACCAGTTATTTGGAATTGTTATCAGAATAGCTATTTCAGTGGAATTTTTGGATGGAGCAGTGTTCTCTTAATAAATATTTCTTATTTGGCGACATCGTGCTTAGATTAAGACCCTCAATTTATGTATTCATGCAGTCTCTGTATTATCCCACTGTTATTTCCTTTTATTTTTTATGTTATTCTTGTGTAGTTTTTTTTCATTGATAGTTCTTGTGCATGTCTGAAAATTGTGGCGTCAGTCACACCTTCCCTTAGTGTCCCCCAGTATAGTTGCTCATCTACACTGTAGCATGAAATAACATTCTCTCAAATATGCATCTCAAAACTTTTAGGTGCCGTGGCCTGTGTTCAAGGCATTGCCAATCCAGTTTCTTTGGCACGACATGTCATGGAAGACACGCCTCACTGTTTGTTAGCAGCAGAAGGAGCCTTAAAGTTTGCTAGGAAGATAGGATTTCCTGTTCTTGAGAACCCACTGGAACTTGTGACAAATGAATCACATGCACGGTCTGCACAAGGGGAAAATTATGTTGCTATGGCTGAAAACTATTTGAGCACAGGAGATGCTGACAACAAACAGGGATTTGACACTGTGGGGGCACTTGCTTTGGACTCGCATGGAAGACTTGCAAGTGCTACATCAACAGGTGTTAGTTTGTTTAAATATAACAATAGTCAGAATTACCCTCATTACCGTAACATCAGTTCCAAAAGTGACAATCCTCATTACTGTCTGATTTAGTAGCCTGTTCTTATCCTAATGGAGGAAAAAGTGAGAACAGTCCCACCCTTCCCCAAGCATAAACCCCCACAATTTTCAGGTGATTGCTACTTTTAGATAGCTAAAAGGTGTTCCACTAGTTGGCTGATCAGTTAAATAAAATTAGTTTTAATGTAACAAGTGGTGAATGGTCCTTCAAAAAGCATTGGTCTTGCTCCGTGTCAATTAGAACATACTCAGCCTTTTCAGAATACTTGCCCCCATCTAAATGTCTTCTTAATTTCTGTCATGTTCTGTTAAAATGCCCTTCATGTTTTATGGTGGCTAAAGTGCACTACATATTCTTTTTCAAGGAAATTATCTGATTGCAAATATCATATCATTATTACTGCAGGTGGATTGCCCATGAAAATGCCAGGAAGAGTTGGCGACACCCCCTTGGTTGGATGTGGAGGGTATGCTAATACTGTAGCGGCTGCCTCTACAACAGGACATGGGGAATCGCTGATGAGAGCTGTTCTGGCATGGGATGTTGTACGAAATGTAGAGGATGGTTTGAGTCCTGCGCTAGCCTGTGAAAAGTCTGTCAATAAGATGGCAACTTCAATTCAAGGTGTTGGTGGGGTTATAGCACTCAACAGCAATGGAGAGTTTGGGAAAGCTTTTTGCACAGATCATATGGCGTGGGCATCTGTTAGTGGACGTGTAGTTAAATTTGGCCTGGGTGATCAGGCTGATGACCAAGGGGTTCCCTTTTAAACATTTAATTAATGTCATTATTACAAAAAAAACAAAAATGAGACTTCTTATTACTGATAGTTTAAGTATAATAATATTATGATAACATGCAATTTGATACAACATGACACAACACAAAATGACATGACACAATTTCCAGCTGGTTCCAAACCCAAAATTTTTCTTGGGAGGCTGAGGAGAAATGGATTTTTTTCTGGAACAAGACAATGCTTTTTTTTAAAAATATACTGCGAAAATATGTCTTAACATACATTGTATTTCTTGTTTTATATGTGATATTTGTATTTAGCATTTTCTAAAAACACTGCAATTATTAGTATTATTTTAAAAATAGAAAATTTTGTATATCTATTTAGAATGAATGAGTATGACAGTGAAAGTTGTATTTAATATTTTTTTATTACAATTACCACAATTATTTTAAAAGTAGACAGTCCTATATATCCTTTTAGAAAACAGAATCATTGTACAGTGTATTCTAGAAGAGATTTTTCAACATAAAGTGAAATCCACTTTTTTATTACTGCTGCTATTCTGTTTCTTTCTTGTGAATGATGGTGCCTTGTGTCAATCCTGTGGGAGTTGAACTCTTTTTTTATGTAAACACGGAGATGGGCGAGGCTAGTAGGCAACACCAGCAACTCTCGGAAGTTCTTGCTTCAGCAAGGTTAAAGGAGCTCAGTCACGGTATTTTGAGTTATTTTGGCCACATACAAAATTACCTTTAAATGATAGAAAACCTGAAAATAACAGTTTAATAAGATAGAAAAACACTAAAGAGATCATGATAAACCATGAAGGAACAAGGATGGCTAAGGATGGAGAAGATTGACACGGATTACAAACGATGAATTTGAAAAATTGAGACTAAACTTTTCAATATGCACAAACCCTGACTGCGCTCCTTTAAGCCTTAGGTTAGGCACTTCCTCCCATCTGTTTTGATTATCTCCCGTGCCCCTCTCTCCCCTCTCCTGGGCTTTGATGAATTTCTAAATTGTTTTAAGACGGAAAATTTGTTATTTTTTCCCATTTCCCACTTTCTCAGAAGCTCTTACAGGTTCTTTTAGGAATTTTAATACATCATGTCCATCAGCGCCCTTGCTTTCATTAACTAAACAAAACAGATACACCTTTTTTGCCTTATACTTTGAACTATAAACATTTACACAGTGCGTTGATGGAGCAGAAACTTAATACCTAAACTAAGCATATAAAATGGAGCAAAAGTTTGATGAGAAAAAATTCTAGAATTAATCATAGCCTCAGAGGTTCTCAGAGTCAGCTCAGGGTTGTGTTGTATGGGAAAAAGCAGTGATCTGTTGTCAATGATGGCCAGCTTTTGCAATTTTCCTCTTCCCCTCTCCCCGCCGCTCGCGCTCTGTGATTCTATCTTTTTTTTTCGTTGAGAGAAAAGCTATAAAACCTGTGATAATACCGTACCACGTGGATGGCCGTGCACGGGAACGCCCGGGAACGCGGGAACTCGTTTTCGCGCGCAAATAAAAAGAAGAAAGAAGCCTGGAAAGGAAACATGTAAGTAACGCCTGATCGATTTCTTGAGTTTAATGCGGAAGATGTGAAAGTTCAGAACTCGATATGAAATGTCTGTTTAGGAGGAATTTACATCTCTTTTGAGGCTTTATGACCGCGTGTCGGGCTTATCGGAGGTCATTTTAATGCAACTGTGATTTTTCGTGGATTAACGGGTACGTAAGATAATGGCGGACAGCCCGAACAGAAAGGTACAGACGAATTTTCAACCATGCATCATCGTGCATGGAGGCGCCTGGGCCATACCAGATGTCTTAAAGGATCCATCGGTTAAGGGAGTCAAGAAAGCTGCTGAGATAGGTTACGAGTCCTTGATAACGGTAAAGGTTCTTTCTTTTCTGCCACAGTGGTCACCCCGGGGAGAGGTACTCCCTAATATGGGCTGTAAAGGTATGGGCGTCCCTAAGGGTACGGTTTTTCAGCCGTTTTGGCCATGAATAGGGTGTCGATTTTAGCCGATTTTAGCCGATTTTGGCCACTGTGGTCTTAAATAGGGTATGGTTTTTGCACCCTAGCCTTGATATGGGTATGTTATTAAGAAGAAACCCCTTTTTCACCATTATCAAAAAGAAAATCAACAAAAGCCCTTCACAAATGATGTTTACGGTAATTCAACATTGGTCTGAACTAGGGACCAAATTATAGTGCACATCTGAAACAGGGTTTTGAGTTAAGGGTCAGGTCATAAATAGGGTTTCGAATTTTTGGACAGGTCATAAATAGGGTAGGGAATATCACAGATTTTGGTCATAAATAGGGTAAGGGTTTTGGGAAGCAGGCCGCACACCCCTACCCAATTTTCCTAGGGGTACTACCTGGTAAGG